TTTTTCAACTCGCCTCCCAAGCAAACTTTGGCGCCGAAGCTTTGCTATTGAGTTCCCCGGCCAAGTACCGCCCCAGACGGTGCCAGCCTTCATGCACTCCTGGGCCTTGCGTACGGTCGCGTGAAAGTTTTGGCGGGAAAATTACTAACTTGAGAACCAAAAGGGCTAGGAGGCTGAAATCTTAAGAGGATGTTCCCTGTTCAAGTAGCACACAGTTACACAATTAACTTACTGAACTTCGAAGGCCAGTATGTCACAAATTCTAGCTACTGATATTACTAGCGATCTTATTACAGTATGAAATACTGCAAAGCGCATGATTGTATGGACCTCCCTGGTGCGCGCCGCCAGTAATTAATTTTGTTTCAGCGACTATGAGGATTTAGCTACGCCGGATGCTCGAAAGAAGTTATCATTTGAGCAGCAAATCGACAATTATCAAACATATCGGTGTGTGTTCACAATTTTTTCAGCATTATTCTTTATCTCTTAATCCTTCCTCATACAGTACTTCGGTATTTTTACAGTGGCTAGACGGAATCAAGACACGAGGGAAACATGAAGATCGTTTCATATAAGATAATTTTAGATATGAAAGTGATTATGTTGCATATTAAGCTAAAAGGAGGAACGAGGGCAACGAAACAAGGGATCTTTTTTACATTTGTACGCGGGAAACTTAGTTTTTCTTAAGAAAATTTACGAATAAATCTCTAATAGAAAGATATTTTAAAGTAGGAGGAAGAAGAGAAGAGCAAATGATATTAAGAAATTAGTAAAAATAATAAAATTATCTTGATAAAATATTATAGTGGTAAGAAATGTTTGGGCCCATTAAGTCATATACATTTCTTACCATTACTACAAGCCTTGTTCGTCTGTAGAGATTCAAGATAAAACACCAACAGAATTTTAGCATTTCTTTGATAAAAGTCACATTTGAATTACTATTGGCCTTGCTTACGGTATGTGTTTTTGCAGCTGCTTTATTTCTAAATGTTTTCAGTGATTCTGAAGAGAAAAACTCCAAGCAGACAAGCTCATCACATAAAATTTTCAGCTACGGTTAGTTCTTATGTCTTTTGTAGCTACAAAGCTTAACTGCAACTTGGCAATTTTAAGCCTCTATTGGTCTTTTTAAGATGCTGCATAGCTTATTTTCGTTGTAAACTTCTGTTTTCTCGATTATGAATGATTATTGCATGGGAGGCAGAACTAGAGGGAGGGGGCGAGGGACGGTAGCGAAAAAAGGATAACATGGAGCGGCAAAGGGAGAGCTTCCGTTTTTGGAATTTTTTCCGTAATTTTTCGTAAATTTTTCTTGAAAAACGACCATTCGGATGTTTGAAGAAGCATGACTGAAAAGATATTTTTTTTTTTTTTATTTAAATGATTTTCAGGAAGTTCTGAATTAATAAACGCTTCTGCTCTGAAACATTCCAGTCACAAGTCATCTCTCGCAACACAGAAAGAGGTCTGTTTAGTATTTCCTTCTAAAATCTGAAGTCGCTCTTTTTGTATCACTTTTTCTGAGCAAAATTTTTTGCATTTTTTTGAAAGAAAAAATCATGAGGTTGCTTTGGTTTTGTAAGAAATCCGACATTTTGCTTGCAATTTAGGCTTTTTTTATGTTAGTTTTAGCTACTTTATGTAATTTTTTTATGGTAAATTCGTTTTATTAACTTTTTGCGTTTCAGCAAACTCCTCCACTAATCGATTTCTATCTGGATGACAATCCCGGTGTGCAAGAGCCATCAGTTTTACAGCAGGAAAAATCACCAAAGATCACAACGGCAACAAACAGTAAGAAGACAGCAGCAGTAGCAGCACCAAAAAAGAAAGACTGGGACGATGATGCCTGGGAACTGCTTAATGAATGACATGCAGTTGAAGAAAGAAATGAATTCTCTGGACGAAAACGGATGGCAGATTTTTCGAAAATCACAAAAGAAACGAACTTAAGCTTCACAAATTATGCAAACTCCTTCTTTGTGGAGGAAAAGGGGAAAGAGGAAAGGGGAATATTTTTATCTTTTTCTTGAATGAAATTTCTGCGCTAAAGAAAATACAGCTGAAACTAGCTAGTTCTGACGCATTTGTTATACTTTCCACTTTTTTCTATTGAAATAATATTATAACTTTCCTGTGATTGCTAATGGTAATGCGCTTTTGCTCGGGTCAGTTCCAGACGCCTTAGTGTTTTACTGCGAGTGAAATTTGGAAGGAATTTTTTATTTTAGCCGATTCGAGCATACTTTTGATTCTTTTCAAAAAAGGTGGAAAATTCCATGGGAAGGCATTTTGGATTGCCTTTCTGACAAATCATGACTGATCTATATCATTGCGACATCCGAAAAGAGATTTTTCGATCGGCCTAGTACTGGTAGAGAAGGGTACCTACTGATGCCTTGCAATTCAGGATGTGAAGGTCTAGCATTTTGTTATAGACATGTTTTTCACGTAGTTCGGGTCATCTCGACGTCAATTTTTATTCCTCTGGCAGGGACTGCCGGGCATCTATGTTTGATTTGATTTGATTTTGAATGATGCATCTCAAAATTCCGAGGTCTCTCGGGGCTTTCAAATCCTTTGGGCTATGGTTTTTTTTTCTTTATTTTTTGAAGTTTTTTTCCTAGGAATTTGAAATTTTTGGGACTTTCTCTAAGCTTTTTTTCTGTTAAAAAAAATTTCTTACCTGCAAAAAAAGATAAACATAAGTGTAAAAAATTCTGAATTCTGTGTTCTTTTCTGTACGTTTCTGATAACTGCGTGCGATTTA